TTTTTATTTATTTGGGATAAATAAATATAACAATACGAATTCAATAATTGTGACACCAACACCATTTACCACAGATTACTTTTCCAAGATTGAGAGATAAACGTCAATAACAACCTATGACACACACTGTAAAGGTAATAAATTTTAAATAAATTTATCAATTCATGATTTAGCTTTTCATTACATCTTAATATTCGTTTCATAAATTTCTATCGTAAATCATTCCACAACAAAATTGCAGTGATAAGTCCACAACAAGATATAAGTTTAAATTCAATTACCAAAGGTGGATAACATACAAATATGGACATAACAATTCAAAAACTTAGTCCTCAATCCATTGCTCGGGACTGTAACGATTTTAAATTGATGTTGTTTAGATGACTTTCACAAAAGTCCATATGCTCAATAGTAACATTTTGCTTTGTAATTCCGTGGGCGGCGTACATTTGTCGGACTTGTCGCAGACAGACACAGACACGCGGATCTAAAAGCCAAATAATAAAACCGCTCCGTATCTAAATTAACATACGTTTATTCGCAGGTCGTCTGGCTCCTGTGAATTTTGCGGTAGATTCATTTTAAAGTTTAATGCACACCCACAGCTATGCGATTGATGTATTGTACAATTTGAATAAAGAAATCACGTCTAGACATTGAAAAGAGATGGTAAAATTCATTTTATGATAAGTTTATTTGAACATTTTCATAACATAACAGAATTTACGCGCTGGTGATTTATTATAAGTATTCTCAAATTTAAATGATAAATTTATACGAATATTGTTTGTTTGTGTTAACATTCTTTTTAAATAGGTAAGTCTTTCTGAAAAATGTTTAATTTTATTGAAGATTCTTTGCATTGAAATATTTTACGGGGGAAGTGAATTAGACTGTACATCTTATTCCCGTTGTGGTTCCTGAAGGATAGATTTTGCGATTATTGTCCGCCCTCAGGACCATTTTCTGTCCAGATCGAAAGGCAAGCAAGAAACCGCGAACGTGAACGTGAGTTTGCATGTTTATTGAAACATCTTTAAAATGTTTCTATCATTAGAAGTTATAATTAATGGTCATTGATAATATATTAAAAGTAATGTAGCGTCGTCTATGAGCCGTTTTAAATTTGAGGACACAAATTCAGACGGTCATCGACTGCTTCGACAACTTGGTACGATTAAAAGCGCTCTGGACCGTGACAAACTACTTCTGAGCCGCACTAATTCTATCGATGCACAGATTATTTATAATATTTATTATATTAAAGCACTTAATGAGGAAGTAACATTGCAAAGTAACATTGCAACAAAATTCTACTCTGCCCATCTCATTCTTTCCTTCTCTGTGTGCTCTTCGCACAGCATACATCCGTATGTCTGCCGTAACTGTCTGTTAATTATATGATGCTGTAAATCGTATGTTAATCATATGATGCTGTCGAAAAGAAATATACATGTCTTTAAACCGAGCGCAATACATGTTTAAATACCAACACTGGTGATCTATAAATGTCTAAAAAGAATTATCTTCTGTAAAGGACAACTTGTAGTGCTCAGCCCCCATTACTTCGAGCCAATTGCGAACGGATTTTGATGAAGGTTGCCTAATCTCGTGAACACGGCCTCGCCGTTTCGAACTGGAGTAATTAAACACAAACGAGATACGGTAAAAGTGGGCATACTTTTTTGCTTAGGTCGTCGATTTGTGTGAAGGTTTTTAGCCTTAAACGGGCCTTTGTTTATCTCTTTGGAACTTAGCTTCTTCAGCGAGTTTATTAAAGACAGGTCACTGAATATTGAATTAGTTTAGTGAACAGTCTTGAATGATAGAGCTTCCAATTAAACAAGCATTGCGTTGGTGAAAAATAGAGTAGCTATGACTCGATGGCGCAGTCACCATGGTATTGGCTTCGGCTTTGGGGGTCGTGGGTTCGATTCCCACACGGGACAACTATTTGGGATCCACAGATAGTTGTAACGCATACGGGTGTTTGTCCACGTGAAATTTATATTTGTAAAACGTCCTTACAACACAGGATAATGTTATCCTAAAGTAATAGCACTGTTTAAAAAAAAGAAAAAAAAAGAGTAAACGGTTATGTATGTACTCCCTTGTTGATAATAATTATTATAATTTGATATTTCAACAAAGAAGCGATACAGTATGCAGTCTACTGAAGCAGATTTACTGTCAGTCATGATTATGAGTTGTCGTATAAAGTTATTCGATGAATGTTTAACTTACATTTAAGTAATTGTTTCGTTTATATATGTTTCGTACGTGTGATATAATTTCTATTGTATTTATAAACTATGTGTTGTAATATTTTTGGATACAAACTTGTAATTTTAAGAGTTACAACGTACAATCCATTATTTTCATGGAAACTGGGTCAAGCTACATGAGATGCCGAAGTGAATGAAGAAAAGAGTTAAAGTATTGAATTGAAGGATTCTCTTCTAGACATGTGGTTAATTAAATCAAATTCGTAATCTTTTTAAACGCTACTAAGTATTTTGACAGCGAGTATAAGAATACAATTTATTTAAGATAAAATAAAACTATGTCACTTATATAAATCAGCGTGAAGCTAATGCAACGATGTAGGTAGAAAATCAGGAAACTTTTAAAAGATATTTTTCTCTTATCCTTTTCTTATCGCACACTACGAATAATACGGGTGTAATACTACACGCCTAAAAAAAGCCTTCACAAATCCTTGAAAACTAACCTTAATGATACGGGCTTATACACTGATTTAAAAATATATTTAGTTTTTTGTTCTTAAAAATGTTAATTAGCATATACTATTATTTGTGTACTACAAAAGTTTTTCTATCTAAGTTATAATTGTCTCAAGAAATTCACAAAATTGTTGTAATATAACAACTATGATTAGAGCAAAATCATCATTTTAACTGACAAAAGAACAATCCAACGTCATTAATACTCGTTTAAAATTATATAACGCATTTAACAATGGAGGCCTGTTTCTGTTCTCCACCCGCCATTTTCTAACTGTTTTCGCGCGCAATTATCGAAGCGGGCAAAGATGATGGCGAGCGGCGACGCTACAGCCGCCTTAAGCCGTCTTTTCACTATGGGACACAACATGACACGTGCAACATTCAATGATTTATTTCGCGTAGGTACATTATTCATAATAAAAGTTAAAGGAAAACATTTCACAAAGCTGAATACTTCGGTTGATCAAACAATTTACCTTTTCAAACAAAGGCGCGTCGTCGCCCTCGGTTAGAATGTTGACTTAACCCATTAAAAAGATATATCTATGTAAAGTCAATCATGGGGTGTAAGATGACTTTGGTTACTCTGTTCCACAGTGAAAATGTGCCTTAATCGCGACTTGAATGCGATACAAACAATAACGGCATCCGGACCAATCGCTCATTTGAACTGGTAATTTTTGACGAGTCGTCGACCGGCGACGCGTTAGGTCCGCGTAGCAGCGACAACTAAGCGAATTCCTCGCTATAGCTCTAGCTTTAATGACACAGCTTTCACATCTCAGCATTCAGTACTGCGTATGTTGGATGATTATGATAAATAAAAATGAAAGCAAACAAATACAGTACTTTTTGGAAAATTTAATAATAACAACGCATTACAACAATCATTTGTACTATCGGAAAAGAGTTTTAAAATATACCAGTCTACTCATCAAAAAGTTCTTCAAGTACATAAATAAAAAGAGGATCTTTTTGTTTTTCTTAATTAAAAAAAAATATTTAATATTTTAGATATTAACAACGCATCATAAAAAATATTCAGCCTATACAAGTAAAGCACTACGAACTTTTTTGTATAGCATGTATAACATAATTGTTTTCAGTGTGTATAACACAATTATAGCAGTAAAATTTGAAATTTTACGTTTAGGTATAGCATCGCTTAGCGTAGTGGGTTGCCGGCTTTAATGGGAACAGTTGTGAATGGCGCGACAATATTCCCGAAAGCGGCTTGTTTTATCGTTTTTACGTAACGAAATCAAGCCGTATCATCACGACGAGGTGATGTCGCTTCGCTTAAACGTTGTTACGTTTTACATCGATTCATGTTTTCAATTACGAAACGAGGTATCGGTAAAAAGGTGAGCGCGTGCAATCCCTGTTTTTGCGTCGAAGAATAAGTCGGTATCCGTCACTCATTAATGGGGACATCTTCATCGGATAATGTTCCGGTGTACTCTCAACGGTCAACAACTATGGTAGTGTTACGCAGCAATTTGTCATTTGTTGTTTGGGTTTTATATAAGAACGCCTGATGAATAGCGAGGTAGTCATGACCGCTTTTTAAGGTGGCATCGCATCGGTGGCAAGTGAGCTGGCGGCTCACCTAATGTTAAGTGATATACGGTAGACACCATCGCCCATGACAGGTAACAAGAAGTCGACTACCCGCAACTACCACCAACTCTTGGCACTACCGCATCCAGGCTTGGCAAAGCCTAGCACGTTTTTGGCTGTGTCTTCGGCACATATGCACATCATTTATTTCTATCTGTATAGTGGTATATATCATAGAGAAACACAAAGATAATGGTACACCACAATATTTCAAACGCCAGCCCTAAAACAATCTCCGAATTACTATACCAGCATATTAACTACTTAATATATTTTGTGTAGATGTGATGTTTATCTAGCACTTAAATTACCTTTATGCTAATCAAAACAAATGAATAAAAGTATGGAGACTTATCCTTGTGGCACACTACAGGCATCCCTACTTACTTCATCATAATTATATGTATTTATATAGGCCGTGACCTTTATATAAAACAACTTTTCGGAATTTGTTCGGGAATACTTATCTTGATGTTAGCATTCATTTGCATACATATAAAGACAAGGCAACAAAAGCGATGTTACGAAAAGTCTAACACGTCATAAATCGTCGCCCTAAGGCCCACTCAATAACACTTGTGAGCAATCACCAGTGCGATAATCCGCAGCCAATTTGTCAGCTCAACTTGCTCAAGCCTTTCGCACGGCCCACATACGAGCACGCGTGCCCATTGTAGCACGGCGCTGCGTACGTATCCACAGCACGGCACAGTTCGCATGCGCTGACGCAACGGATCGCGTCAGCGCGCACAAAAAGCCGGGGAATTGGAATGCTCCCCGAACAATAACATCGCGATCATCGAGTTCCCACATCCTGACGTGTTGCGACGGCAGCCGGCACGGGAATGGTGCAACTTCACTGCTTGGGATTAGAATGTGCGTGTGGCAAACCATGGGAACGGTTTTACAAGTTGCCGAGTTGTAGGTCATCCAACAGCTTCTGCTGTTGAACGAACGGGTAGGTTCTGCCGGGAAGTAATGAGGCCTTACAGAAGGACAGCGTGAAGTTAAAGTGATGAAGAAATAAAGAAGGAAGGGCTGTTTTGGCAATTTTTTAGATGTCATGGGTCGAGGTGATCACGTCAGGTGGACCTCCCGCTGTCCAATCGGAACTACGAGGCTCGCCGCAATGTTGATAAGTGGACCTCTCTATCCGATTGCCATGTGGGCGTCTTCAAGGCAATAGCGTAGTCTTACGAGTTAGTCTTGTATCTTGTATCTTGTATCTTGTATTAACTGATGTTTTTGCTTTCAGTCCCGAGACTATTAAAGCTTCATCTGACGTAGAACCGGTAGGCTAGCCAGAACCCACGGGTTTGGGCCCTCCGCTGTGGGTCGCGCTTGTGCCTTAAGGGCATTTTACTTTTAGCGTTAGTTAAATTGTGTCGCCGGCCGGAGACGAACGCGGCTCTATTACGAATGTTATTGATGTGCGTAGTAAATGACATAAGTGAGTCGAAAGTGACTCCTAAGTATTTGACTTTTTTTCCCAGGGGAGCGGTTGGCCATAAAGGGATATTTGCCCCAACTCTCTGCATTGTCGAGGGACCTTATAAAGATGTGACGGGTAAGTACTTCGTGTGAAGTGAATCACCACACTCTTTTCGGGATTTTCTTCTATTCTCCATTAGAGGAACCAATCGCCGAGGCGGTCGGCGGCGCTCTGGAGACGAGTAATGAGTTGACTGAGATTTTTATCTGTGTAAAAGAGCGCCGTGTCATCTGCGAAAAGCGCGAGATTGACGTCTTTGGATATGTCGCTCGTGTAGAGCGTAAAGAGTAAGGGTGAGAGGCAGGAGCCTTTTGGAACGCCTGCCGTGAGGCGGCGGCTTGTGGAGAGGGTGCCCTCAACTCGAGATCGAAAAGATTTAATGTAGTCATTAATATAACACCACTGTCTCCAAGCTCGGAAGCTGTTAAAGGACCAGATTTTAACTAAACGTACCGTAGAATTAATAACGTCGTCATGGTGCTGATCCCTCTGTAGCTATCATTAAGTCACCAATTAAAAAAGTACACTCATACGAAACTCAACCAATGCGACTCTTGTGGATCACAAACTTTTGTCCCGTTTTGGGTTCCAACCTAGAGCACAACACACACAAAAGCTGTTGCTGGTAAATGGTCATTTAAACCATTGCGTTCACAATGCAATAATAACTTATGAAAAATGTATTTATTAATGACATATGTATTTATTAATACATATTTATGAATGATATTTATTAATGGCCTGGATGCCTTTATTTACTTAATGACATGTCTCATGTCATTTAGTAAATAAAGGCATCCAGGCCATTTATTTATTAAGAGCTGTTCTAGTAAGTGTAGTAAAATTAGTAAAGGAAAGATTTCATTAATTTTATATTTTATATGAGTAGGTAAACGAAGACCAGTTGTAAGTTTTCACTTATGCATATATAAGAATGACAACGGGCTATACCCGTGCTATAGGGCACAATTACGACCGCAGAAACGTATATACAATAACAGTCAGATGTCGTTATGATGCAACCGTGGAAACAATGTTGGTATAATTGAATTATTCACTAAAGAGACGGACCGGTGTACCGAAATGGGTGAAAGTTGTGAAAATTAACCAGATAAACAGTGAAAGTGCCTAGACCGTATTTATCTTATAACGTCTCGCATAATAACAACAACTTCACTTTCCATTACAATCGGTCCGCCGTTTGATTTACGTTCATTCGGAATTAAAATGTCAACGGCGAGAAGTTGAAATCACTGACACGATTATATTGCAACTAAAAAATTATAAATACCGTATTGTGAAAGAATTCTGCCAATATTAATTTATAGATATGCTAATATTTCGTTCGAGTTTAGCGTATCTATTTATATACCCGACTTTCGTTTCTTGTGAGCATCGCAAAGTTATATCGCTTTAATGTCATATCAAGCTTAAAACATTTTTTTACATTTATTTGTTTACGTGAGCCGTGATAGCTCAGTGTCCGGGCGCTCGGTGAAGGAAAACATCGTGAGGAAAAATGCATATTTTTGAAATAATAACAAAAAAAAATATTTCGAAGATATGTGAAGTCCACCAATCCGCAGTGGGGCCGCGTGGTGGACTATGCCCTGATACCCTCTGTACAGAGGAGGCCTTTGCCCAGCAGTGGGACATGTATAGACCGATACTTTACTTTATTTGTGTATATGTTTATTGCACATTGTGAAACGCAAAACACCAGTCTTACCTTTCAGTGGTGCAGGAGTTGTTATTAAGTTGTTTTTACTTTACCACAAAAAAGAGTAAAAGTTTTGATTGTATGCAGGTCTATAATAATAATAACTTTATTGCTTTCGCAAATCAATATCCACGTTAGTTACTCGTTTTTAAACAAAGTAAAAATATTAAGAAAGAATTAAAGTACATAGAAGTATTGGAAAAAAGGAACCAACTGTTGTAGGGGCCTTCGTTGTTGCAGAAATAAGCAGTCCGTCCGGGGAAGTACCACGAACTCACAGAAGACCGGCGAGTTGACGTGTACCTGTTATACTTCTGCATTTCGTCTGGTAAGTGAGGTAATCGGAGCCCAATTTATTAAAAGGTGGCAACGCATCTGCAACACTACGGGTGTTGCAAATGTCCATGGGCGGCGGTTATCACTTAACATCAGGTGAACCGCCGGCTCGCTAGCCACCATGTAACATAAAAAACTTTGTCATATGAAATTCATACATATGCCCTTTCGTGCAGTCGCTTACCCGTTGTCTTCTGCACCGTGGCTTTTAAGTTCGATTCTCGCACGGAACAAGTATTTTGTTTACCTAATACTTATTCGGGATTTCTTCGTTAGGCTGTTTGTCCGTATGAAAGTTTTGTACGCAAAACGTGGAACATGACACGATAATATAACAAAGAGGGCAAACTTTAAACATTAAAACTAAAAAAAACGTTTATCTATGTTTATTGTAATGACGCAAATATCATATTTTTAATAAAAGAATGTTAGGACAACATTTATTAATCACTTTTATTATTATAATCGCTTATTAGTCTAACAGAGCATGTTTTAATTAAATTTAATATGGAATTAATGACCACCCACGATACTCCGTTTGCAGACGTTGCGTGGTCCATATGACCAATTAAACTGTAGCGACGCCTGGTGTTCAATAAATGAAGATTTCTATGCACACATCATGAACAGCTATAAAAAGCTAGTTATTATTTGAATAATTTCATACAAACAACCTTTTAAAAAACCCAAACAGTTAATCGCTAATACGGCGTCTATGAGTAAGTCTAAATAAAATATTGAAAAGGGAAATCTTCTGGATTAAGGAAAATCAGGAATTTTCTGGGGAAGAGCTAGAAATGTTAAGTTTTATAAAAATAGTTATTATAAAGTGATTCTCGATAGTACGGTTTCGGATATAAAATTGATACATATTTTACAATTAATACAATTGACAACAAAGAGGCAAATGTCATTCAATCAAATCCACACTAACATCATTTTCATTATCCAAGTGTCCGAGGAAATGAGTGATAAGTTAAAAAAAATCACGAAAAAATTCTCTATACAGAGACCAAGTATTACTGGTGCTCAATTATTGATTTTATTATTTATATATTGATTTATTATTATATATTGATTTTATAGGACGAGGCTTTTTGCTTTAAGGAATTTGTTTTGTTTATTTTCAAATAAAAAAAAACAATTTTGTTTAAGAATAATTTCATTCATCGCTCATTTCATTCCATTTGAAAGTGTAATTTAGTTGAGCGCTGCAGAACCAGTCCTACAAATTTACAAAATTGTTGAGTAAAGCGGTTGTAGTAAGACGAAGTGGCGGGCAATGGACGTTTGCTTTGTTAAGTGAAACAAATACGGTGAAATAAACGACGAATGCGCGTACCAACCCGTCTATGTGTTGGCACCCACTGTAGTGATGCCTTCAATCGCTACAATGTCGTAATCGAAATGTGAGAAACTCGATCGAGTTACTGTTACGGTAACTCGGCTGATATTACAGTATTACGCTTCCGAGTTCCGATGGAGCTGAACGTAACACGAGTTGAAAGGAAGTCGACCAAGGGAGGCCCAAGTGAAACAAAAGAGTAAAATGAAAAGGTAGAAAAGAAGAAAGAAAAGAAATTCAATTTTTGGACAGTTAGAATCAGAGATGAACTTTGTAATAATGCGATTATTTACCAGCGTTCTTCTATACAACGAACAATATGTTAATTATTATAAATAATTGTATGAGTTTAATTAAATTATACCTTTTACAATCTCTTTCAAAAATGTTAACATAATTAAATAGCCTTAATCTGCGACCAATCGTTCATCAAAAGATTATTCACATTTATAAAGAATATTTTCTGAACTGATTTCAACATCCCACTGCCTTCACAGTCAAGGGACAGACTGAAGAAATCATTAAATTGAAAACTTACATATTAGCTTCGCGATTTTTGTTCATAAGCATTAAAATTTAGCCAATTTTCAACAGGTTGTCAACGCATCTACATTGGGTGCAGCTGCAGATGTCCATGGGCGGCGGTATTCACTTAACATCAGGTGAACCGTCTGCACGCTTGGCAACTTTTCACATAAAAATCTCTTTTTTACATTTAGTCTAAGTAATTTCAAGAACTGAAAAAACTTATCATTAAATTAAACCAACCGTTTAAATTAATGTAGAATATTACACGTATAAGATTACAATAAGAACAAAAAAAATTATGCTAGAAGCTAATTGTTAAATCACCTTTCGTGAACGCATTCAAGATCAGGCTCAGCACCGCTATGAATACACATGAGTTCTAGACTATTTTATATATGAATAATGGATATAGTTAATTGATGAATATCTGCGAAGAAAGTGCGTCCGATCCGAAGTGTACGAAATTGGCCATAATTAATTCTGCGGCCGCAAACATTAGCCTACATCGCGCCCGCTGTGTAAACAGGTGTGTGTACAGTGCACCGCGCAAGTTTTACACAATCCGTTTACGTCCTCCGACAAAGCGCACCGTAAACTGTAAGGTTAATTATTGGCTAGTTTAAAAATGTTTCGTTGTGATATGTAATAAAGCATTGCCGTGCACATTATTAGATTTGCACGCTATTGTTAACTGCTTTCTCCGTAAACGTAAACGGTTGTAGATATTTACCCTGCGTTAAAAAATGCTAAACCTCAATTATTAACAATCAATTACATTTATTTCTTTTAATTATGTTTAAAATGAAAACAAATTACAATAATAATTGCGGATGTACTTCGAAATCAGCGCACTTGAAACTTTTTACATGATGAAGAATGAAAGTACGGGAGGTTAAGCAAGTACAAACTCATGAAATAATTATCGGTTGCGTTAACTTGTCTTGCCCTGGTAAATTAAATTATGGAAGTAATACGCCGTAATAAATTGTTTATACGTAATGAAACTATTTTATACTTACAAAGCTATCAAAATCGATTGGCGTCTGTATACACCAATTTAGAGCCAATACAGAGGGTAGGGTGTTGAAATTTGAAAATAAAGATTAAAAGTCTGCGCATAAAGCTTACAGTATCTCATACTAACGGCGTCTTCTCAACTTAGTTCGTCCAGAGCACTTTCAAAGCTACGGCAAAACAGCCTTCCACGGCGGAATCACCTCGATGCCAGTTATTGCGGCGGCCGCTGAGGCTGCTAACTCACCTGGCTTTATCCAAGGCCCTTGAACACGTGGGTGGACCCGGCTACCCGAGGACACCTGACGCACAATCACAGTCACAGCGGCTCCGATCCGTTTCGCAATTCGGGTCACAGCACACGCGGCGAAGCGGCACAATCGAGACGTGCGTCCGCGCCGAGCCCGCGCTCCGTTATGAGCAGCGGAGCGCGAATGGCGGACCGCAGACCTTACGCCCGCGCCAAAGATCAAGCGCGCAGATGGCCAAGCCGCCCGATGTAATTGGAAAATGACACGAGATTATTTCGATATTGAATGTCCCTCATTCTTCATGAATGAAATATACTACTGTGCACTAGACAAAAATTTACATGAAAGTACAATTGACGGCCTCAATGCTTAGAAGTGATTTCTTCATACTTAGCTATAGCTCTAAAATTAGCTCCATAGTACTTACTTCAAAATTCTATCTCCAGTAACGAAATCTATCTGTAGATAGAATGTTGAAACCGGCCGTTAAACCGTTGTCAATTGCATTCAGTGCCTTTTTTACAAACAAAGAGTACTACTGGCACAGGGAATAAAAGTTTTAAATTTTTTTTGTTCTTTTGTTAGACATCTTATAACTTCTTACATACGTACATTAGTACACATATACTTATTTTTATATGAATATGTAGTATTCGTAGGTAAGTTCGTCTTAACGGTGGTAGGGCCACGCAGCAGCCTCGGCTGTTGCACGAATGGGCAGGCTCGTCCGGGTAAGTACCACGACCTCGCAGAAGACCGGCGTAAAGTGGAAGTATAATACTTTCGCGTTTCGTCTTGTGAGTGAGGTGGCCGCAGCCCAATTTTCAAAAGGTTGTCAGCGCATCTGTAACCCTCGGGTGTAGCAGATGTCCATGGGCGGCGGTATTCACATAAAAAAATAGTATATAAAAAGCAGGCAGTATAAAAAAAAAATTCGTACTTGCCATCTGTGTAAGTGGTATAGGCTAACCCGAATAAGGCTTTAAAGAGTTTCATTTAACAAAGCTTTCATTTCTTTTACATAATGTTTAAAAAAAGTTTTTTATTGAAAAACATCACCGTCTCTAGGTCCGTCTGCACTCTGCATCACTCTCACATTTACCTATATATAGAAAACTTAATTGGACTTTTGTAGTAGAAGTTTTTACAGTAAATTTTAAATAAATAAATGCTTATTTTTAATCCGAACAATAACGACTGATCCCCGAAAGGGCAAGTCTGACAGAAGACTGGCGTAAAGTAAAAGTATTATGCTTCTGCGTTTCCTCTGGTGAGTGAGGTATCCATAGTCCATGGGCGGCTAAAGTTATTACTTACCGTCAGATGAACCGCCAGTTCACTTGCCATCTTACCACATTAAAAAAAAATCTATTTTATTACGGACAACACTGATCACAGCGTACTAACAGCGTCTAACAGTGTCTAATAATGTCGCTAGGACCTTATACATTCGTATTTTATTCCTCGTTTTATAAACGATATTAATTCAGATATAAGTTGCATGCATATAATTTCATCTTAATGCTTTTTGCCTCTCGGAACGTCCGCGTAACATAATCATTGTGCACGCAGGTTATCAATGAAGACGAACGGCGCACAAAACGCTATTAAGAAAGAGAAACATCATCGCAAATCTGCAGCGTTGCACACGAAAGCTCGACTCATGATTTAGTAATAATATTAAATAAGCCAATTTAAAGGCGACAAGGCCGTCACTTGATGATCATGGTCAAAATAATCTGTTGAAACCTGAACGAAAAAATCTTTACTGTATTAATAGCAGTCTTCATTCGATATTAGCACTATGTTTCTTTTGTATAATAATTTGTGATTCCTTGTTCGGAAAATAAAACGCCTTATTTAATATTTCTATGCTATACTCGCGTGGTATTCATCGAAATTGGTAGTGGTATTTATCGAAATAGTTTAATTTTAGACGGCAAAATGTACGCGTTTGAATATTATAATAATAATAATATTAAAGATTCAACACTCGATTCGTACTAACGTTGCGGCGTGAAAAGAGAACAAACACGCACAAATTTTCGCATTTAGAAAGTTAATGCTAAATTAAGATAACTGACCAAACAGCTTTAACGGCTCGAGTGACGAAGTTGTTAAAGTAATTACTCACCCCCATATTCTTTGTCCGGATTTTCACATTGTATCGGATCTGGCTGTGTCCAGACGCAATTAATGCATGTTAAACTACGCTGGGTAATCAATCGCTCAATGGGGATGACGTTTACAAAAATAACTACAACCAAGGATAATTTTTAAAAAGGTATAAGTTATTTAAATAGAAGGACATGTAAGGTCTTCTGTGCAACACGAAGCATCGTTTAGAGTAGCAAGAATTTGGGACAATGTAGATTAATCACGATTTAATTCGACGGGTCAACGACACGCAGTTCCGCGTGCTTTCGTCTTCGGAGCACGTCTCTCGACCTTGGAGTGGAGAGAATACCAAGTGTGGGATCCTCCGTGTGCACCCAGTGGGTTAGTGGGGCCGGTGAAACCGAACGGTGGCCGGCCGGTCGCGTTTTAGGCTCGGATCTTTATCATGCTCACTTTCCAAACCCACGGAGCCGCGCTCCCGTGCACCTCTCGATTGCAAACGCCACACGTTAGCTTTCAATTGAAACCGTGGTAGGGTAACGGTTAAGCGATGCAGCAGTTTCTCTTGTGGTTGTTATAAAGCGGATTAGGCAAACGAGCAAGCCTCATAGCTGACGCTATGTTACTTCTGTCAACTTTTCGCGTTTCGACACTAGTCACATGACAAGGGAAATGCGTGTCCGTTGCTGGAGAGAGTACTAGTCTCTTTTAAAATGTCTTTTGTGAAATTTGTAGTTTACCAGATGAGCTGAAACGTTTAAATTTATTGTAACCACGGAACCAATAGCCTATGATGCGCTTACCTTATATGACGTGTAGTGGGATTTTAGTCCAAGATTCTCTTTAGTAGAGCCACGTAACAGCTATTTTGTTGCACGAATGGGCAGGCTCGGGCGTGGCAGGAGGGCTTCACAGAAGAAGTATTGTACTTTCACGTTTCCGTCTCGTGACCCATTTTTTTAATGTTGGCAAAGTTCGCCAAAATTTTAAATAAAAATTTATGTAATGTTAATAAATCACTACATAGTATAAAACAGAGTCGTCCCGCTGTCTGTCTGTCCCTATGTATGCTTAGATCTTTAAAACTACGCAACGAATCTTGATGTGTTTTTTTAGTAGATAGAGTGATTCAAGCGGAAGGATTATATGTATAATATATTACACCCTTGCGAAGCCGGGGCGGGTCGCTATTTTACTATAAAACAACATAATAGTTATACTTTGCCGTTGGCGCTCCTCTATTCATAATTTCTGAATGCCTGCGCAATTAACTTTATGACGGGGGCCGGACAAAGGGCAGATTATCTCGGCGTCTAAAGGGCCCGAATTAAATTGTTCGGAGGGTGAGAAATGCCTGAGGTCCCGAGGGAATTCCTTCCCACCTCGGGACGTACTCGCGGTACACTAGCAGCGTTAGATGCTATAGCCAATGTCACAAACGATTTTTCCGATGGAAGAACAGTCAAAACAATAGCGTAAACTTCATGATACGAACTTAATGTCATAATGCAAACAACTATATAATTCAGATACAAACTTCTTTTTTTCTTTTTGCACCTTCTTTTATACCTTCACAGTCTTTTAACTGCAATTATCAAAACTCATTATCGCTACATGATCGTCCCGCTGTCTGTCTGTCCCTGTGTATGATTAGATCTTTAAAACTATGAAACGGATCTTGATACGGTTTTTTTTACTAGATAGTGATTCCAGGAAGGTTTAAATGTATATGTGTATGTAATACATTGTACCTGTGCGAAGCCGGGGCGGGTTGCTAGTTATTAACATATTAATATGCATGATGTGGTTACCCATAATCGTAAGAACAGTTATATATCTCAAGCCTGTATAATTTAGACTATAGCGACTGTTACATGCGTTGGTCATCAAATAAATAAATAAATCCATGACTCGGTGCCTCAGTTGTTTAGCTATTCGGCGTCGGGAGACCAATAATCGTTCCGGTTCTTGGTGTTTATGCTCAAGGAGAGTAGACGTCAGGTAGGCGGCCGTTTGTAGCTGTGCGCTATTGTGGGGCCGCTATGGTTGACAGCGAGAGGGCGTGGACATTGTCACCTGGAAGGAGGCCGCGGAGAGATTGAGGGAGGCAACTACAACCCTGGATATACGACCAAGGCGCAGGAGTGGCAGGCATGGGGGTGTCTGTCGCTGAATATGACCCAATGGTATCGGCACAACACCATTTAGAAGAGGAGGCCCAAAAAGGCCATTTAGAAGAGGAGGCCCAAAAAGGCCATAGTCTCGCCGGGGTCGCGGAAGATTGCGTCTACGTGTTCCCTTATTCCCGGCCGATGCGACAGAGGTGCAACGAGGGTTTTTAGTAGGTACCCAGTTCCGGGACTCCCACATACCCCTGCAACTCCCACGATCCAATGGCACGGGATCCATAAAGGAATTTTCCAACAGAAAAAAAATAAAATAAAAAGGCGGCTGGTTGTAATAAACCTTGCCAAGAACATCAATAACATGTTGCCCACAAAGTGGGCTAAGGGCAGAAGGCTAAGAAAAGAAGAAGACATGGTGCCATCGTATTTATAATACAGTTATTCGGGGTAAGTGTAAGTATTAAAAGTTATTAAATATAAAAGTCAAGAATAATAAATGAAAGACGCTGCATTCAAACATTTATAAGCCGCGAAATAAAAACTAAAGGGAAAACCAAAGGCAGTGTAATTTTCATGACTCCATGACGCAGTTGCCAAGGTATTGGCTTCGTTGGTTTGATTCCCGCACGAGACAAGTATTTGTGTGACCTACAAATGATTGATTGGATAATGTTATACTACAATTTTATAGAAGGGAAAAATCCAATTTTTTTTACCATTTAGTGGCCGGAGCCCAATTTTCAAAAGGTTGTCAATGCATCTGGAACCTTCGGGTGTAGCAGATGTACATGAGCGACAGCCCATCAGGTTAACCGTCTGCTCGCTTGGCAACTTTTCACATAGAAAAAAGAAAAAAAAATGTATGTGATTACCGCCGCCCATTGACATCTGCAACTCCCATAGGGTTGCAGATTTCAATGAGAGCTCGTGGTACCTACCCGGACGGACCTGCCATTCGTGCAACAGCGAAGAATCTTACATGGCCCTACCACTGTTAAGGCCCTACACATATAATG